GCTTCTCCAGGGGCTACTGCTGGTTCCAAGCCCGGATAAAGGAGGATGGTTGAGCATGGGGTTAGCGGCCCCAATCCCGTAGAAAACTAACTCGTTCAAAAAAACGCTGACCAGGAAATTATTCAAAGAAATGTCTGCTCAATGCTCTCAGATTTCAATAAGTCCTATAGGAGGTTTGCCAAGGCCTGAATAGCTAAATGGTATGATCTCAAACTGTAGAACTGGTTGATACAAGTTTGAATTCGATAGCGAATATCAGTTCCTTCAAGACTACAGTTATACCTTGTTGATGAATACGAATGAGCACGAAATAAACATCCACTAATTTCAATCACCTCATGATGTTCCTTAATGTTTATAGACCCTAGAACACATAACAATTCATGAAAGAAAATTAACTTTAATATAGAATAGTTTAGATAAATGAAAAATTTTACTTACTACCCAGTAATACATATACACGCACACACACTCAAAGGAAATTGACTTTTCACTTAAACTATCTCAGTTGAATAAACAGTAACATTTTTTTGACAATATGCCAATTTTGAAATGGATGTAACAATTTGTAAAGTGATACATATTAGACCTTTTTGACGTTTTCCATTATTACTGTTATTACTGATACTACTGCTGATAATACTACTGACATATTCCAGTATACATAGATGTAGTACAAAATTCATTACCAACTTTCTGAAAAACTGTACTGGGAAAAAATGACACCTGTCGTATATAAGAAAGAACTAAGCGAGAGGGGGGGGCGGGGAAAGAAAATTTTGATGGACGAAAATATATTACTTACAAATTGTCATTACATTTCAATCATAAAATGAGTGTACTTGTTGAGAATTGTTTATGTTTAGTGTATCTGTAGGAACAGCTGACTCGATGATGATGATGATGGTGATGATGATGATGATGATGATGATGATGATGATGATGATAATGATGATAAGGCATGATGTGATTCTTTTTGTCTAAAATTCTACTACTGGATGTACGTACACCACAGAGATGATATTCACTCTGAGACTCGAACTCAGTACCGTTCGCTAGAGACGTCATCATGTTATCCATTTAGCTACTGAGTCCTGATAGCTACTTGCTTGTTCAGTGGGGTGAAGTTTAATTCACTTTGTACTCTTTGCTTGTATCTTCTCAATGTTGTATAAGACTGTAATTGATACCAGAAAACAATGTCAAGTGAACATGACAACATTGTTTTTAAATTATCGAGAAATTAATTTGATCATTCAAAATACGCATGATTCTTAGTTTCCTGAGGTGATAGATTTCAAGAGTAGTACTCATTACTCATTAAGACCATCATTGATTACAGAAAGTACTGATATTATAATGATCAAGTATTTATTTGAATGTCCATTCCTAATTATTAGTACAGGGTAATTTGTGGAGATTTTAACATTTTGATACTTAAAATCACAAAAATCTGAGAGTAATGGATGGCTATTTCATCTTCGTATGAAGTTCTTTAATAGTGTGCATTCACGATCCCCCATCCAATGACTGAACCTAGAACCCCCATTCTAGCGAGGAAACTCTTACCCTGTTGAACACAGAGCCGACATCTAAATAGTTTGTAAGACCTGAATGTAAAGGAAAATTATCACCATAAAAATGATGAAAATTTTCAACACAGTTGGATGCATTTGTTGGCGATATGCATTCGATGAACCTCCGTGAATTAAAGTGGACTGAAGCTTTCGATAGTATCCAGAATAATAATATTACTTAGTTCAAGTATAAGTAGTTAACTTAACGAATCATTTTCTAATATATGGATTATTTAACTAACTAACTAAACAATAATAAATTATAATCAGAAGGAGTTTTTTGTAGAGATTTCAGTGTTTTCATAGTTGAATGCGTGAGTCAATCTAAGCTAGACCACCAAGGAAAACCTGGAAGTACTGAATGAACTCGCGAGGCGAGGTAGTGGATGCACACTGCTGAGGAGTCCCACAATAGGACGAAACGACCGTCCAGTGCTTCCAAGTTTTCTATGGTGATCTAGTTTCAATTGACTCATGCATTCAACTATGAAGATAAATTATAATTTGGAAAATGACATTGTTGAGAATTATTAAGCTTGATAGTTAAATTTTAACTTTATTCCCTGATGATATATTGAGATATATTAATATTGATATATTGAGATGAAGATTTGTAGTTCAACAGGATGACTTAATGAAGATCGCTAAATCTGGTTGAGTTATGGAGCTTTCTAAAAAACATCTTTGGTGGAAATGTCTAATAGAAATGAACTAAATGGCAAGGTCAGTAGAACTATTTGCTAACAAATCATATAAATTGACGAATGTCAAGACAGTCAGTTCTATTGTACGGAGCTGAAACGTGGAGAACTACTACATCCATCGTCAAGAAGGTACAAGTATTTATAAGCAGTTGTCTACGCAAAATACTGAACATTCACTGACCGGATACTATCAGCAACAGCCTACTATGGGAGAGAACAAACCAGCTTCCAGATGAAGAGGAAATTAAGAAAAGATGTTGGAAGTGGATAGGACATACATTAAGGAAATCACAAACTGTACCACGAGGCAAACCCTAATTTGGAATCTAGAAGGGAAGCGGAAAAGTGGAAGACCAAAGAACACATTACTTTGGGAAATAGAAGCACACATGAAAAGGATGAATGTTAACTGGAAATTACTGGAAAGGATTACCCAGGACAGAGTTTTATGGAGAATGCTCGTGCGTGGCCTATACTCCTCGACGAGGGGTAACAGTCGTAAGTAAGTGAGTAAGTAAGTAAGTAAGATATAAATTATCAACTGTCAACAGTATTATCTCTTTAAGTCTCGACCTGATTGACCGTCACTAGATCATGATTTTCCACACAAAAAATGTTAGTCATAAAAAGAAAAAACAAAATACAATTTTCTATTTGAACGCTCTACTCTCTGTGAATAACACTCCTTTTATCTTTTTTGTTTAGTTACCATGACAATGTATATAATCTCTAATCATATAAGCCTTTGTGTTATGTTCTTCAATATCCGATTATTACTATGTCTATGTAAAACTTTCACATGGGAAAAGAAGAGAAATGATAAAAGGATCAGTACCAGCTCCGCCTACGTTCTAAGCTGTTTGATCTGTAACATAGTTGACTGATATTTTTATATGATCTATAGAAACATGAGTTGTTTTTTCTTCAGTAGTTGTACATGATAACCCGAATTATTATTGTTTTTTAGTGTTTTTTTTCACCCTTTCGATCGTTATGGTTGTTGTGGTGTGGTGTTACAGTTTTGCAGTATTGGTAGTAATAGTTCTAGTAGTAGTAGTAGTAGTAGTAGTAGTAGTAGTAGTAGTTATGATGTAAGCCAAAGATGATAGAGCTGTGGTGGATAAAAGATTCGATCATTTTATGTTGTTGTTTGTTTTTTTGCTTTAAGAAATAAGTAGTATATGTCTGTGTGTTTTCTTGTTTTTCTCTCGCTCTCTCTCCCTCCCTCTCCCTGATTATCCATGTTTATTTTTAAGAATAGTAACAATCCTAGTTAAGGGGGATAATATTTTGAGCGTTGATATAAACACATAATTAATAATTCAATCATTTGGAAAATATACATGATAATTTTTAATCCGATAATTAATCTTTATATTTATAATACTGGTTGGAACTATAAAACACATTATTGTAAGAAAGATAGAATTATTATGGTAAGCAAAGATGGATAGTATGGTGGTTGGAGGTGGTCAACAGGAAACCCTGGACCCGGGTTTCGTGCTACTTGGAACTCGTCAGCAAGGGAATTGACGCTCACTGACGGATTCGATCCCGTGTCACTCAGCTTCACAGCAAGAGACGTTACTACTGAGCTATTCGGGCCCCGACCGACCTTCCTGTAGGACCGAGATGTAATCACAATTGATTGATCACTGGGTGGTGATCAATGTCATGCATGTCAAGCCCTCTTTAGTGCTGATCGAATGTCGAGCCACCTAGACTGGTAGCCACATTGTAACTTGATCGATAGCATTCGATCAACACTAAGGAGGACTTGACACGCATGGCATTGATCACCACCCAGTAATCAATCAATTGTGAAAGATGAATAAAAGCTGGTAGTGGAATCCAGGACGCGCGTCAAGTCCTATTTGGGACTCGTCAGCTAGATGTACCTGCATCTCAGAGTTCATGTTCACTCCGGGTCTCGAACCTAGTACCTGTCGCTTCAAACGCCATCACGTTATCCACTCGGCCACTTAGTTCTGATAGCCACTTGCTTGTGCAATGTGAAGTTTAAATTCACTTAGTATTGTTTGTTTAAATCTTCCCATTGATGTTTAGGACTGCAATTGGTTAGTCTCTAATTGGCATCTAAGCATACTGTGCGTATTGTCTCAATATAGCCTTAATTCACAAGTATTGAAAGCAAAGATGGAATTATGTATGATTATGAAATTATGTAATGATCAGTTTAATTTATAGATGGTGTACATCACCGACTAACAGCAATTGTAGATTCAGTGAAAACCAGAGTTTACTGGATTGTAGTTTTATCCTAGTATGAAGCTTTTCAAGTATCATGTTGATATGGTTAACTGGGTAGTATGAATAGTCTTCATACCTAGAGTGTGACGTAAAGTCAATTCAGTCAGTCAGTCACAACGTAGAACTTCGTAAGTACGTACATACATCAGTTCGAGTTGCCATACCACATTAGCACAGAGATGCAGTTGTTGATTAAAATCCCATAGTGGTAGAATTAATAAGAGTATAAGCAGTAATCGAAAAGAGATTAGGATTTGAAGATGTTATTGAAACAGTATAATCCAGTGAAATAAAATTGAAAAGAGAATAAAAAAGATAGAGACATGAAGAATTCAGAAGATTAGAATTTGGTAGAACACAAAAAGTGGATGCATCTTCACCATTGCAAACGATTTCGAACAATGATGTCAATCAAGATCTCTAACCATCGATTGCTATCATTTCGATATTAAAATTGTAAGGTAAATGAAAAGATAAACAAAGATAGAGAAAGACAACAACATACTTTGATTGCATTTGGACGATCAACTGTATAATTGTTCAAATCATCTAATGACCATTGAGATCCTTGTTGTTTCATATAATTAACAAATTGTCTATTGAATGTATTTGCATTTGTATTATAAAAATATCCATCACGTTGATTAGCTAAATGTTCTAATGTATTACGTAACTCAACTGATGGAGTATATGGAGTATTTTCATCTATTAATTGATTTAAAATTGGTTTTAAAAAATCTGGTGAATTTAATGTTTTCATTTTATTTGCAGCTTCAATTAAAGATTTACTAGGCTAATATAGAATTAAGAGGAAAAGAAGAGAAGAAGTTAACTATATAGTTAAATAAGTGATTCTTTTTAGTAAATAATTTGCACTTTCATAAAACAAAAGGAAGTTCTAGTGAGAAGCAGTGACTAGAGGAGTTCAAAACCACGTCTGTTGTGAGATAGGAACTCACTGACGATAATTGGTGAATGGTTGCTCAATTTCGTGGATTGGTTGAAGTTAGATATTAACAACATCGGATGCCGGTTCAGTGGGCTATCGGTTAAGTGCTCTGGCGAGATCGTGGATGTGCACTGTTGAGGAGTCACACAACAGGACGAAACGGCCGTTCAGTATTTCCAGGTTTTCCTTGGTGGTCTAGCTTCATTTGACTCATGCTTTAAACTATGCAAAATAATGAAAAGTAACAAATTAAACTGATTGATAAAACTATAGATTTTTATTTAAAGATGTTTTTCTTGACCCAAATAAGTCTTATGTTACCTAAAAACTCCACCTGTAGCTCCTCTGGGGGTTACTGCCGGTCCCAAGCCCGGGTACAGGAGGAGGGTTGGGCATGGGATTACCGACCCCATCCCGTAGAAAATCAACTCACTAAAAAAATGCTAACCAGAAAAAATCATTCAAACCATTTAAACTCTGCCCTGGCACTTGAAGGAATAATTATGACGTCTCATGATGAAAGCCGAGTTCATTCGGAAGTCATGAGGCCGATGCACCTTCTTACAACCAGAGCGACAATTTTTATAGGCACATGGAATGTCCGAACAATGTGGGAGACCGGAAAAGTCTTCCAGATTGCTGCAGAAATGAGAAAATACAACCTGGAGGTGCTTGGAATCAGCGAAACACATTGGACGCAGGTTGGACAACAACGACTGTCTTCAGGAGAACTTCTGTTATACTCCGGTCATGAAGAAGAAAATGCCCCACATACACAAGGAGTTACATTGATGCTGTCCAGAAAAGCACAAAATGCACTTATTGGATGGGAATCTCATGGACAAAGGATCATCAAAGCCTCCTTCAAAACAAAGAGGGAGGGCATTACATTGAACATCATCCAGTGCTATGCTCCGACCAACGTCTACGATGAAGACGCTAAAGACCAATTCTACGACAGATTGCAGTCGATCTTCGAGAAGTGCCCAACCAAGGACCTGACCATTCTGATGGAAGATCTCAATGCTAAGGTTGGAATGGACAACACTGGATACGAAGACGTCATGGGACAACATGGACTGGGAGAAAGAAACGAAAATGGTGAGAGATTTGCAAACCTACATGCCTTCAATAAACTGGTCATAGGTGGCACCATATTCCCACACAAAAACATACACAAAGCCACTTGGATTTCACCGGATCACATTACACAGAATCAAATCGACCATATATTCACCAACAAAACCTTCAGGAGGACGATGGAGGATGTGAGAACCAGAAGAGGAGCTGATATAGCATCCGATCATCATTTGTTGGTCGCCAAGATGAAACTAAAACTTAGGAAGCAGTGGATAACGGCTCGGAAAACATCACAAAAGTTTAATACGGCCTTTCTTCGAGATGCTGACAAACTCAACAAATTCAACATAGCCCTCAGCAACAGGTTCCAGGCCTTCCAATGACCTACTCAATGGAGAGGGGACTACCATGGAGAGCAACTGGAAAGGTATCAAGGAGGCAATCGTTTCAACATGTCAAGACGTTCTGGGCCAAAAGAAGCACCATCACAAGGAATGGATCACTGTTGGTACACTGGATAAAATTGAAGAAATGAGTAACAAGAAGGCCTCAATCAGTATCAGCCGAACAAGAGCAGAAAAAGCCAAGGCACAAGCCGAATACACAGAGGCAAACAAGCAAGTGAAGAGGAGCATGAGAACCGACAAACGTAAATATGTGGAAGATTTAGCGATGACAGCGGAAAAGGCTGCAAGAGAAGGAAACATGAGACAACTGTATGATGCAACCAAGAAACTTGCTGGAAATTACCGTAAACCAGAAAGACCAGTGAAGAGCAAGGAAGGCAACGTAATCACCGACATTGAAGAACAACGAAACAGGTGGGTAGAACACTTCAAAGAATTCTTGAATCGACCAGCTCCACTGAACCCACCCAACATCGAAGCAGCACCCACGGACCTCCCAATCGATGTTGGCCCACCAACAATTAAGGAGATCAGCATGGCCTTTAGACAAGTCAAGAGAGGCAAAGTAGCGGGACCAGACAACATCCCGGTAGAGGCACTGAAAGCAAATGTAGCAACAACTGCCAAGATACTACACACTCTCTTCAGTAAGATTTGGGACGAAGAACAAGTACTAATAGACTGGAAAAAAGGACTTCTGATCAAGATACCAAAGAAAGGCGATCTGAGCAAGTGCGACACTCTACATCAACTTCATCGACTACGAGAAGGCATTTGATAGCGTGAACAGGACAACACTATGGAGACTTCTTCGACACTACGGCGTGCCTGAGAAGATAGTCAATATCATACGGAACTCCTATGATGGACTAAACTGCCAAATCGTCCACGGAGGAAAACTCACCGACTCATTCGAGGTAAAGACCGGTGTTAGGCAGGGTTGCTTACTCTCACCCTTTCTCTTTCTCCTGGTCATCGACTGGATCATGAAGACGTCAACGACTGGAGGAAATCACGGGATACAGTGGACAGGCAGGATGCAGCTTGACGATTTAGACTTCGCGGATGATCTGGCTCTTCTAACACAAACGCAACAACAAATGCAGAAGAAGACGACCAGTGTAGCAGCAGCCTCAGCAGCAGTAGGTCTCAATATAAACAAAGAGAAATGCAAGACTCTCCGATACAATACAATATACACCAATCAAATTACACTTGACGGAGAAGCTTTGGAGGATGTGGAAACCTTTACATACCTGGGCAGCATCATTGATGAACACGGTGGATCAGATGCAGATGTGAGTGCGAGGATCGGCAAAGCAAGAGCAGCATACTTAAAACTGAAAAACATCTGGAACTCAAAACAATTGTCAACCAACATCAAGGTCACAATTTTCAATACAAATGTGGAGACAGTTCTACTCTATGGGGTGGAGACGTGGAGAACTACGAAAGCCATTATCCAGAAGATACAAGTGTTTACTAACAGCTGTCTACGCAAGATACTTCGGATCCGTTGGCCAGACACTATCAGCAACAATTTACTGTGGGAGAGAACAAACCAGATTCCATCCAGTGAAGGAAGAAATCAGGAGGAAGTGCTGGAAGTGGATTGGGCACACCTTGAGGAATTCAGCTAATTGCCTCACAAGACAAGCCCTCACATGGAATCCTGAAGGTCAAAGGAGAAGAGGAAGACCAAAGAACACATTACGCTGAGAAATTGAGACAGACATGAGAAGAATGAACAAGAACTGGATAGAACTAGAAAAGGAAGCCCAGGACAGAGTGGGTTGGAGAATACTGGTCGGCGGCCTATGCTCCATTGGGAGTAACAGGCATAAGTAAGTAAGTAGAACACAAATAGTGGATACACTTTCGCCATTGCAAACGATTTTGCAAATCTGTATCTGGTAATTGATTCTGTAAGTGAATATGAAGCTAGTGCTTAACCTGAAAGTCATATGTTCTATCTCCAGTAAGATGGCGGATGCGCATGTCTGAGAAGTCCAGTACTCTGGAATGAAATAGCAGTCAAGTATTTCCCTATTTACATGGGCTATCTGAATAAGGTCAGTCCATAACATTAACTATAAAATCCAACTATTGATCAACAATTTCACATTTGAAAGAAATACTGAACTATAATCAATACTAACCTAGTCACTCTTAACCCTTCCACGGTGTGGGCAGCCGGGAAGTGATACTAGCCCTCATACCGTAACTGCACACAAGACCAAGTTGGTCGCTTTCAAATCCTTCCTACACCTAATAACTATGTTATCTCCTTGACTAACCCTTCCCACGTCCTTTTATCACCTCGCACCGCTAGGGCAAACGATTCGAGTACACAGAACGTTATTCCTGGTCTCCTGAAACCACGCTCTAAACTACATCTAGGAACTTTTAATGTCCGAACATTGTGCCAAATAGGACAACAGGCTTCCTTAGCTAGGACTCTAGAATCTTACACCATCGATGTGTGCTGCGTCTCCGAAACGCGCATACAAGATCCGAGTAGTGTCATTCATTTGACCGCACCTAATCAAAATAAAGTTTCATCTCGATACACGCTCCGTGTATCTAGAAGCCCTGACGCTGCTTCCCGTGGCCTCGCTGGAGTAGGTATAGCATTAAGTCCTAAGGCAGAACTAGCTCTTTTAGACTGGATCCCAGTAGACAGTCGTCTATGCGCTGTCCGACTAAACGGATCAGTAAGGACCCCGAAAGATAGGGAAACTCGTCGTTGCCTCTTCGTCGTCTCTGCCTACTCTCCCACTGACTGCAGCTCAGACGATATAAAAGATGAGTTCTACAGGAAACTTTCTGACCTTCTCCGAGAAGCTAGGCGTTCTGATGTAGTAATAGTAGCAGGTCACTTTAATGCTCAAGTAGGTAAACTAAGTGAAAGGGAAAGACACCTGGATGGATCTTATGGTGTCATGGCGAAAAGAACAGATAATGGCGACCGTCTGTTGCAGCTGTGCTCAGATAACCGCCTATTTCTTGCAAATACTAACTTTAAGCATAAGGAAAAACATCTTTTGACATGTCGACCCCCGAATTCGTCACAACGTTGGACCCAATTAGATCACATCGCTATCAGCCACGGATGGAGGGGCACGATAGAAGACTGTTGCTCATTCTGGGGCACATGTTTAGATTCAGATCATGCTCTGGTGTGAGCACGTATCTGTCTGCGTCTTACTGGTCGTAGGAAAGACACTGCAGGGAAGCCTCTAAGGGTTCTACTTAATGATAGGCAAGCTAAGAATATATTTCAGGAACAACTAGAAAAACAGGCAGCCATGTAAGTTGTGTCCA